TTGAGGGTCCTTTCAGATTTTCAAGGAGTAGCCAAAAAATGAAATAATAAAAACAGCACTGTTATGTCTACCTAAGAAGACTACCCTTGATAACATGCAGTTACAAGCGCACAGGAGGGCAGTTTGTCATAGGGAACAAAAGCCTTAGAATAGTTTGCATCGGACCATCCTCTTACAGGTTGTCCTTAAGGAGAGGAGCAGGGATATTTAGGAAACCCACACAGCTAGTTACTGGTGTTGCACACCATTCAGATGTAAACTAACAAAGCGGCAGTCAGATAAAATCTTGAGCTTTAGACATTTGTGATGGCCATTCTCCTTTGTCTTGGGTCATCTGGCTATTTTTAGGCTGTTTAGTCCATTAAAGTCCTAGAATTAGCCAGGCCTTTAGAGAATTAACTTCCTCCACCCCCCCCCCCAATATGCTTCCAAATGTTTCAGCATCCTGAAAGTGGACGACACCAGATTAGATGATGGGAAACCTAATTACTACAGAATAGAATTTGCTTTGAAATGAACTGATACAGAAAAATGTTGATAATACAAGAAAAGAAAAAGCCATGTTAGGGAAGGTAGAGATCATCACACATTTTATTCAAAACAACACAAAAGGACACCCCTCTCTCTATACTTGAACATGATGGAAATGATTTTCATTTGCTGTTTTAGATGCTTCCTATTTTGTTTTAGAAAATATGTCTTATCTTGTTTTTTTTTTTATGTGTTGTTTGCATGTGTGCGTGTGCGCACATGTCTGAGTTTAGGTAGATATGTGTGTGCAAGTGACTGCAGAAGATACAGCACCACTTGGGATCCCTTGAACTGGACTTAAGGTGCTTCTGAGTTACCAGACATGGGTTCTGGGACTTGAACTCTGGTCCTCATAATTGAGAAGCAAGTGCTCTTAACCACTGTGCCATCTCTCCAGCTCCTATTGACCATAAATCTTCCCTTCATAAAAGAGGAAGAAAGCTATTTCCAAATTGGGGAACCATTCATAACCAGCTCCCTCCAATTCCAGTTCTGGTTTTGACTTAGTGGAGAATGCAGGGACAGCCTCAAATACAGTGGGTTTAGTATTCTACCATGTGGGCCTAGTGCTCTATCAGCACCACCTGCCCATATTACAAGATAGCAGTCGGTATACAGGAACCAAAGTGTGATTAGTGTTCAATGAATATGTGTTAAGTAGAGCAGTCTTTCTTTTCTTAATTGGACCAGATTCTTGGTGAGACACACTCCAAGTATGTCTGTATGTCTATAGATACATGATATGTTTATTTTATTTTATATGTATGAGTATTTTGCCTATATGTATATATATGTACCATATGTGTGCCTATTGCCTGCAGGGGACCAGATCCCCTCAGAACTGGCATTATGAATGGTTGTAAGTCAGCAGATGGATGCTGGGAACAGAATCTGGGACCTCTGCAGGAGCAACAATGCTTTTAGCCACTGAGTCTTCATACTTCAACTTTTAACGTGACTTTCATCAAATGACTATTTCATTCTTTGGAAACATGGCAATGTTGAAGACATAGTTGGTTGCCACAACTGGGAGGCACTCTGTCATCTGGTAAGTGTAGGTGAGGGATCATGTTAGCAATTCTTTAATACATGCAACTTCTCCTAAAATGAGAAATATCCATCTAGGAATTCTGAGAAATCTTGGTTGCTATTTGCCTTATTTAAACTCATTTATGGTTATCCATTATAATCTTGCCACGAAACATTTATAGAAGATGGCTACAATTATTAACTGAGTCTGAAGCCTTCTAATTGACATCCAGTGGCCTCCAAAGGTATACTGCAGCTCTCTGGTTTGCTACCAGGGTTCTCTAAATGACATCAACTCATTAATATAGTGTGAGCCGAGGCAGAAGGTCTGAATACTTATCACCAACCAGCTTTGAGTCATTTGAAATCACGAGGTGACTATCCTTCTACTTACCACTTTCATACTAGTATATGACAGTTTGTTTTTGAATTGAGCATATTTTTATGAAATTAAATGTCCATATTCAAGGAATACTTCCCTAAATGTAGGATGAATTTCACACACATTTTATTAAACTGTAGGAATTACTCAAGAGAAAGAATAATAAAGAGTATTACCCAAAGGTATCCCATCAGCCTCATGGCCATGGAGAGGAAAAATTTCAAACCAAAATTAAAATACATTATTCCCTACCCTAATTAGTCTTAAACATTTTGCCTCTAGCATGAAGCATTTTTCATATTCACCGTAATTTTTCTTGATAGAAAAATGGTTTCTCTCAAATCATAGACAACTACTGTGATATTAACCAGCAGAACTTTTGCTAAGGAAAGACATTTAGGGAATTACATCTTTTCTAATCTAAGTACAATACCAGGCAGCTTTTTAAAAATCTTTATATACACAAATATTTTTTGTAAATAATAAACTTTAAAAGAGCTCAAAACTTCAAACCTGAAGTCCATTTCTATCATACATGACCTCTTCAAAGATTTTTAA